ATTTTTAACTAAGTTTTCTTTGTAATTGTATAGTTTTCCCTTGACAAGGAGAGGATCAGACTTTTTCAGGAGGATTACCTCTGCTCAACTCATTTCAAGTAGCTCTTGAATAAAATAGTTCATTAGTTCATGAAAAGGAAAAACTCCAGGGAACTGCTGGGGAAGGAAGAGAAAAGAACAGTGTCAGAGTAATTAGGTTTTCAGATTGTCCCTTATCCTCCAGAATGCAGGTACACACACACACACACACACACACACACACACACACACACACACACACACACGCACACACACACGTCCCTCTTCACCTTAGGGGAGCTCATTGCATGTTTTCCCTGGGAATCAGTGTTCCAGAGATTGAAGTTCTAACCAAGCCATCATTTCCCAGAAAGATATTAAAAGATACCTCTTCCTTATAGCACATTTTGATTGCTAGTCCATAGTGCAAGAGCAGCCCCATCTCCTTTGCAAGTATTTAAATACCTTAGTTTCAGAGTTATTCAAAATTCAGTTTCCTGACCTGGCTGATGCTGACAAACCAAAGGATCTCCACTCACCAGGAATCACTTGTGCCTGCCCAGGCACACAGGCAACCTGGGAACAGCAGAGCCACTGACTGTAGCTACCAGGGATCAGGAAAAAGATTGGCCAGGAATGAGAATGGCAAGTGGGGAAAACTGGAGGGGTTTGCAATTGTTCACTGGCAATTGCTGACGAGAGGACAACCTCTTTTGATCTCTGCCTGGCACAGCAGAGTAACAGAGCATCCCAGAGCCATAGCAATCCACAGGACGCCAGATCATCACCAGAATTGACAACACTGTATAGTTTTTGTGGTTTTACACCACATGGCTCAATGGAAAGCATAGCTCACAGCAGCACAGCCTTCACACTATTCTCCTGTGGTTCCTTCTGTCTGTTCTGCATTTACATTAAAAGCATTCAGGTAGTCTGTAGGTCTCCATCCAGACCAACTAAACTGTGAACTAAGATGCCAATGAAAACAGTTCTGGTGATACTTCCCTGTGCGCTTTGTCACCCTCTCATTTCAAATCAGCTTGAGACCACCAAGAAGGATCTGATGATCATCAGAAACATCACTGGATCACTACTGTCCTGGCATGGATCTGTGACCTTGAATTATGCATTCACAGAAGACAGTATGACTGGAAAAATCAGGAGATGTCAGAACAATGTGTTGAAGCCTTTATGAACTCTTCAATTCCTCTTTTTAAAGGATGCATAGTTTGAAAAATGGATTTTCCCACAGATCTCTTGTGATTTTCCAAAAATAATGTTTTGCAATACTCTTAAATTGTTACATTCCAATTGCTATTACTATGGATTACAAATTAAACTCTGGACTTCCATCTGCTGACAGAGGGCTTAGTTTCAACCCACAGTTTTGGAAAGGAGTTTCAGTTTTGAGCACTATGAAAGACTCCTTCATTTAGATATCATAATTTAAAAGAAACTGGTAGGTTATGAACTGAGCTATAACATGATATAAAACAACTCTTACATGAATAATTATTTGCATATCAGATTATTAAATTAAAATCTATCAAAGATCATTTATTGAAATAAACAGCCTATCTGCCCTGTTTCTGGAAACATTTTGCCTCAGGGAAAAATTTAAACCTGGGCAGATAATCAGGATAAGGTATTTGAACACTTAAATCCTGCTGGAGTCTTCAAAGTAGGTGTTAAGTGGTGCATTAAATTTGTGCTTTTTCTTCCGAGCAGGGTAAATTTGCTCTTCTGTAAATAGTGGGAAAAGCCTTTTACAATAATTTGAATCCATGAATAAATGTAACATATTAAAATTTCTAAAGTACAACCACTAAATGTTTTTGTACATAAGCGAAATGAGTTGAATATCCAGGACTAAAATTATTCGAGTGACCACAGAAAGATAATATATAATTAAAATGACATCTGCACCACTAAACGACAGGATGAGAGAAAGTGACATCACAGATCTCATGTAAGCTGCAAGCGTATTATTAGATCTAAACCTGGTTGTAAAATTACTATCTACCCATGGGATTATCTTTAGGCATTCAGAAGCATTGTTTCATTTACTGATAGAACAGGGATGATAACAGGCTGACTTTGCTTGCCACGTTGTTTTTTGGCCTTTCTTTATTCTTTGTTCACATTAGCTGCAGATGAGAGGAAGACAAGCTTCAGCTGAATCACTGTCATGGAGCTTTTCATTGTTTGCTCCAAAGGCTTTTTTCACCCTTCCCACCACCCCCCACCTCAAGAAAAGAACCCAAAAGTATTTTTAATGATGTTAAAATCAATGAGGAGTAAAAGATGCACACAATGTAACATCTAGGAATGTGGCAACCTAAGGAATACCCATTGGCCTGATGCACCTCAGGGAGATAATAAGACTTGGCTTACAGCTCTCAATATTAGCAAAAACCAGTAGCCACCAGTTATATCTTGGCTCATTAAAATTCAATGCCAAAATTTCGAGTGGCTTCAGTGGGTACCTTTCATCATTTGAGACCTAGGACACAGGACATAATTCTCCTTCACATGCAGGGCTACCTGGGATACCTAATCTCTACAGATTTAATTTCTGGATTAATTTTTAAAAACCCTGCATTTTGATCTGTTTCACATACCATTTTTATGCCCCTGGCAAATTATTAAGTTGCCCACACTTGTAACGAGACTCATGCACCACCAACCTAAACCAGTCAAAATTCTAAGAGCATGTAACAAGACAGACAGTGAAAAGGGAAAAAGAGGAAGCTCCAAACTTTCCAGCCACTTCTAAAAGCCACAGTAATAACCCTGAACTGCAAAGGGGATTTAATGTGCCCTTAGAAATCTGGTCCTAAGTGTTTAACTCCCAGCATTTGAAATAGTTCCCACATGCCAGTTTTGCAAACTAGGCAAAAGTCCAGGAGCAGATGGGTCCATGGACTTATGCATACACTGCTAAGGCAAACATGGACTTTGTACTTTCCTCCACACTGCCCTGATACTGGGTAGCTACTGCCATGTGTTATCTCTTACAGCATCTCCCTATATTCCTTCCAATATAACCTTATACCTCTGCTCCATCAACCAGTAAAACCTGCAAACAGGCTGCATATGCACAGATTTCTGCCTCCTGCTCTTGTCACAGAATATGCTGAGTTGAAGGGACCCACAAGGATCACTGAGTCCAACCCTTAGCCCTGCACAGGATCATCCCCAAGAGTCGTACCATGTGCCTGAGAGTATCATCCAAACACTTCTTGAACTCTGTCAGGCTCGGTGCTGTGACCACTGCCCTGGGGAGCCTGTGCTACTGCCACAGAAATACACTGCATTTTATTAATAATAGTTAATACAGTAACTACCTTTAATCCATGTTGGATTATTTCTTTGTCCCTTTTATCCTTTGATAACTGATACACAGAACAGACTTTTCATGCAGACCCCTTTGGCATGAATCTTTGATCCAAATCTTTCCATACATACAGCCACATCAGTATGCCACTAAAAGTTCTCACTGGACCTGTGCATTAGAAATGAGGTGTCTGCTAGCAGCTTAGATACACCATTCCTGTTAGAAAATACTGCTCCACTACACAGCCTGGGTCAGCAATAATATTTATGAACCATGAGTTGTTTGTGGCCAGTCAGTGGCGCTCACCGTCTTTTGGATGTAAAGAAGGACAAAGACTTAAAGGTTGGTGAGGGTAAAGACTGATGAAGGTGGGCTGGAGGAACGACCAACAGCACGTGGTGACAAAGCACAACACAGAAGTGAGACTTCACTGCAGAAAAAGTCAAAGAGCAGAACATGCAACACAGCAAAGAGCAGCAATACTTCTGAATATCAATGTTATTTTTAAATGTCTTCTGGAGGTAGACTAAAGGTAAACTAAAATTCATTTTATCCTGAAAGGTGACAGCTGGGGTGAAGTGGTGGGGCCAAAAAACCGTAAAAAGTTGGGAGGACCCAGTCTCACCCGTGCTGTTAGCCTATCAGCATTGCTCTTCATCTCAGAAACAGGTATCTCTTATATTTCAATATTAACAGCTTCTTTAATGTCTGTGTTGTAGTGCGGTTCATCTCAATTGTTAAAATTTGTCTCAGCTACCTTAAAAATGGAATTCCCACTGATATTCTGTGTTTCTCACTACACATCCATAATTAATTGCTTAACTTATTTTTAGGGATACTGTGTGCAGTCCAAAAAGTAAAAAATGGTCCAAAAAGACGAGCAGACCTGAAGAACTTTTGTATCATAGAACTGAAGCACAGGCCTATTTCCAAATGCTTCATATACCAATAATAGAGAGATGTTCACAAAAATGCATGTGCCTTCAGATACTTCATAAACAACAGCGATCAAAAAACAAACAAAAAACCCCTCAGACTGCCTTATGACCAAACAAAGCAGGAACAAATTATTTGCTACTAATGCATATCCATTTATTTGCATATTTCAGGTGGTATTTACTACCTTTCTAGTTAGCCATCTCTATATCAATCGACTGCTCTAACCAGACACTCAGGTTCTTTCCATGTTGCAAAGCTGTAGGAACCATTGCAGGGCTTATAAAATGTGCCTCAGCTCCTAGGTAATGATTGGGTTGAAACACTCAGTGGGGCCTTCTTTTTCTCTGGTCCTTAAGGAAAAGTGGCATAGACACAACACCTGAGTTTAAGACAAGAAGAAATTCTACAGGGTGAATCCTTCCTTCTGGGTCTAGAAACTGGGTTGAAAAGTCATGCTAGATGTAACATTTTCTGCATCCTTACTTGAACAGAAATACTAAAAGAAGCAATCTTGTAGTGTGTTAACAATTCTGCATAAACACCAACCCTGCCTGATGGTACATAAAGCTAAAAGTTAATAAAATCTTCACTAAAATACTCTGGCTGTTCGAACAGACAGTTTGCTTTTTAAACTGAGGCTTATGTCACTTACAGTTTTTCTCAAAACATTTGCTTACCCATATATTTATCACAGAAATAGCCTTACCTCAGCTGCATCTTGCTGGTGCCTGTAGACAATTGCATTTTTTATGGTTTGGATAAAAAATCCATTCAGTTCCGTTTGTTTCTTGTTTGGAAAAATGCGTAGCAGTGGGATCATTATGAATGGGAAAGAAACTGTAAGATGTTTTAAAGCAGAAAACAGTGAATCAGACTGTGAAGGCATATAATAGTCTTTCCCCCCTGCTCCTTTCATTAAGATTATAAAACTCATCAAGTGGGATGTGTTCCCTTTGTGAAACCTGTTTTTTCCTCTTTCCCTCTCCCTCTTTTTCTTCCACCCTCCCAGGCTGGCAAAGGATTTCCTTTTAGAAATGCCATGCTGTCCAGGACTCTACTGCCAGACAGATGCCTTCCAAGCTTGCTTTCACAATGCTTCAGGATTTTGGTTCAGCTTTTTGATGCCACAGAGCCACCACAACAAAGTGGAGCATTATTTCCTCTGCCTACCCAATTACACAGAGAAGGTGTGGGATCTTGAACTAGCCTGGCAGCTTATGGCACCAATCTATGCAATTGTGTAGTGTTCATTCTCATTTACAGTTTTCCAGCATTAGGGAGCATACAAGAAGGATGAGGACAAACTCTTTCTTTATCAGGGCCTCTTGCAATAGGACAAGGGGTACTGGTTTTAAACTAAAAAAAAGCCAATTTAGATTAGATATAAGGAAGATGTTTTTCACAATGAAGGCTATAAAACACTGGAACAGGTTTGCCCAGAGCGGTAGGTGGTGGATGCTCCATCCCTGAAAACATGCAAGGTCAGCATGGACAGGGCTCTGAGCAACCTATCTAGTTGAAGACATTTCTGCTCATTGTAGGGGGTGTGACTAAATGACTTGCAAAGGTCCATTCTAATCCAAACTGTTCTATGATTCTATTTTATTTTGCTTCTCTAAACAGGTCGCACATTCTGGAAGAATGGTCTCCAGTCCATGGCCTTCATAGTCAGGAACTAGAAATCTGAGTGAAGTCTTGCATCCTAATAAACCCCTCATTAACTTATGAACAACGTAAAACTAACAAATCAGTCATTGGACAAACCCTGTCCTGCCAACAGAGCAACACAGTGTGGAAATTCAGACCACATAATGAATCAGCAGAAGAGATGAACCAAGGAATCCAACCTCAAACCCTACAAAGACTTCCTTTAATGAAGGGCACACTCTTAGACACGTAGTGGTACATTTCTGTCCCTTAAGAAACTGGTCACAAATCACACTTTGCAATCAGGTTAAACATTAACCCCGGGACAATTTGGATACACAACTCGAGAAGGAAACAGTTCATGTGCTGTGAGTCCAGGTGCAATCTGTAATGCCAGCAGGATCAGATGGGCACAGAAAACTTTGCCATTGTGCCACCTGACATTACTATGTGCAGCTCTAGACATCAAGAAGATAAAACTTCAATAGGATTGATTATGGTGTGGCTTCCTCATCTACAATTCTTACTGCCCTTGAATTAACAAGACCATCATCACCATGAAGCTGTAGCTTCTGCGTCCTAGAATTACATGGCTTTATACCCCACTCGTGCATTGCTATCTATTCATCTGACAATAAGCGCATTCTCTTCATGACGCCTGTTATCTTTATCCTTTATAGCCACTAACCAAGCTGCTGCTGCTATTCAAAAAATAATTGGGAGGACTTACACTATCTGCTTATGCTCCTCCACCTCTTTTCTGTGGTGGGTTGTTAATGTTGTTAGCAGATGGGATTTCAATCTCTACCATGTTCGAAAAACTTTACACTTAAGTGCTGTTACTCTGTTTTAATGAGAAGTGTACAAATACCATAAAAACTGCAGGACCCAGAAACTTTTCTCTCAGATGAACCTGGAGCATTGTGTTCCAAGACTCTCAGTTTCTGGAGTAAGTTTCATTAATGGTGACAGAAGCTGCAGAGCATATGGTGGAAATCTCGAGGGTGTATTTGGCCTGTAGGTTGCATTCTGAACACCTCTGAAATAAAGTCAGTTATAAATCTTCCTGTTATGGTTTCAGTATGTTCAGAATGACTTTTAGGAAGTTACCATAAGGAAGAAAACAAATGTAGACTATACTCACGGGTTAGAATGAGGAGAGGTTTAAACAAAGACATTTCAAAGAATGTTCTACAATTCTTAACAAAGGGGTCATCAGGATTCTTCTTGGAATCCACCTCAGTACCAAAAGCTACGCTACCAACGACATCCAACGTAAAGCAGTTGTAACACCTGCATTGAATTGAAGAATTATACATTGTTATCTACAAATCACATATCCATTAGTATCTTGCTTCTACAAACACCACATAGCATTAATTTTTGCCACTGAGTTTCTTTTTCCTTTTAGATTTCAGCTTTGCCAACAAGAGATGTTTATATCATTCTGACAAATGCTGATGCTTAATAACAGTCACCTTCTCTCCACATATAAAGTGAACATATTTTCATTTAGCTCAATAATTCCATCAAAAATTTATTAGAAATAAACAATTTAATTTTTTATTACCTAGAAATCAAAGGCAACACGTCATCAGAGATTCATAAGCATTTTCTTAGTATGCATGCTAATAAAAGAGATCACTCCTTTCTCATTTTAAACTGCAAAACCCACATCTATTACCAGTCCCGCCTAAACTCTCAGAGAGAAGAGTTGCTTAAATAAAATAACACTGCTTAAGGATTTCCTTCCTCTTCTCTATACCTCCTTTGTAATGTAAATCCATGGACAAAACCAAGAGGAACTGCCACCATGTGAAATCTGTATCTCTGCAGAGGAGCAGCCAGTGCTTCGAGAATTACAAATCACCTGTGGACCATGATCTAGAAACTTCAGAACTTACTGAATCTCTCCCTGCATATCTAACCATCTATCCAGTTGCCTCACCATCTTTATTTTTCTGCTGGGCTTTAGCAGCTATTTAGTTTTGAGATAAGTGGACTGAGAATGTAAAATATCCTTGAAATTTCATTCTTCTGATCTGTGGTCAAGTCTGCAATGAATGTTCCTCTATGTTCTCTTACAAAAGGCTAATTTCAATCTCTGGGGTTTTAACCTGAATGAGCATGTATGAAGAGAAGGTCAAGAGTCAGGCCCATTATATCCTGTGTACATTGTGAAGCAGTATTTCTAAACTATGATCTTTGGGCGCTGTCATTCTGATGACACCAGATCAGATTTGAAAGATTACAACAATACTGCAAGGTGAAGTAACTTTGGGTCTCCAACTCTTACAAATACACACATGAAAAAAAGAAAAAAAGAATTTTTAGAAGCCAAAATGTTAAAAAGAGCATCCATTGCTACAAAACAATAACTTCAGATGCACTCAATCATTTATCTCTCCAAGGTACTGAAAAAGATCTTAAAAACTAAATTTTGACTTGTTGGCAAAACACAAAATGGCTAAAGACAACTAACATACAAGATCACAGGAGGTTACAGATATGGTATTTACATCCAAAACCAGCTCCCAAGGCAATTCTGTGAAACTGCAGTGGAATGAGAATCACATTTATAACTGTCAAACCTGCTGAAATGGTAGTATGGTAAAACAACTGGAATATCATGTTCTGAGATGGTCAACATCATTCATTTATGCTTTCAAAAGTTCTTTTCCAAAATGCCTCTTGAGAGGTGAAACCCTATAATAGATCAATAGCTATGAGACCAGGCAAAGACAAAAGAAAAATGGAAAAAAGGGAAAAGTCTGGAAGGACTCAAAAGGTCAATTTTCATCAGAGCACTCAGCTAGTGTAATGTATCTTGAGGTTTTATAGCATCTCTTCAGGTGTTTAATAAAGAGATCTCCGTACACACACTTACACTTGCATGTGCACATGTATACATGTCCTTGAAAAGAGATGAATGAATTGTGGCTAAATATCCATTTCTTCAGATGAAACGATATTATTTGTGCTTCTTCAGTTTGAGGAAAATCACAAAGAACTTTAGAGGGCGCTGACCAACCCAGCAAATGAAGTGTACACAAAAATAGGGCCTATTAGAAAGAACGCATTCAAACCACTCATATGTTGCACAGTGTCCTAGAGGAAATGCATCTACTCAGAGAAGACAGTGTTGTGAACAGGTCAGTGAAAACCTCTGATGAAAGAGCAACAAAAAAGATAATAGGATATTAAATGCATAACAACTGAAAGCACAATATGGAAAATATTAAAATGTCATTTTATAAACCAATGGTGCATTCTCATCTGGAGTACTGATCCCGTTGTTTCACAAAAGGCTAGTGTGCCATGAGGGGGGATGTGAAGAATCTGGTAAGAATGATTAAGTGCTCAAAAAAACCTCAGATAAAAAAAAGCAAGAGTGTGATGGACTAGAGATATTTGATATCAGATCAATTCTTATACTTGTACATTATTGACAGACTGTAGTGAACAGACTGGGCAGGGATTGACGCAGCCCTCCTTTCTGCTTCCAGCTGTTAAAACTTCATTAAACAACCACTAGAAATACATTAGATGCTTTACCAAAATTACTTTTCAAGTATGCAATGGTTGCCCCCAGGAAGAAAAGGAATTTATCAGACACATCCTCTATTAAACTATGATCTTCACTCTTAAAAGTAAGGGAGGAAGAAAAAACTTTTATACAGTAAGTGCATATTTAGAATAACTGCTGCTACTGACTTTTTTTTTTTTAATCTGCTACTAATTTCTGGCATGTAGAACATACCTCTGGATATCAAAAGCTTTGCCAGAATCTGCGTAGACTTTCAAGTTACACAGCAGGATGTCACAGGCCTGGTTTATTAGTGGTGTCATCTAGAAAGGAACACACCGAATTGTGAAAAACATGAAAATCTTAAAAAAGAAACCAACAAAAGCAATTATTCACAATTATTTTTATCTGGCAAATGGGATGGAGCTCTCAGGTTCCTCTGCAAGTGTAGTTAGGCACTTATGTGCAGGTAATATGAAATGTTGGCACTGTCTGCTAAAAATAAATCCACAAATTACAGGGGTGACCTTCTCCAGCTCAAGGCCTAAATACAAGAGGCTCTGACCTATGCTTCTTGCTCACTTGTGGCTACATACACAGAGACCTATCAAGCAAAAATATCCCCCTCTCTTTCTAATCATTCCAGCTGAAGATTTGTCGTGATCTGTATTTAGAGTACTTTACACTTAGGTTACATATGCTCCAGGGCAGAAAGAATAGTATTTTCCAAAGTCACAAAGTCCTGTAAAGGTATTGGCATCAGAGTCCCAGCACTTCCATCCTGCTGTCTCTTGGTTTGAGGGATTTAATATGTACATTAGAAAACCACCCTGTGTACCACTACAGGCAGCTGAGGGCAAACTGCTATTGCTACATGAGGAAAGGATTTTCTGGATGATGCTATTAAATGGACATTCACATGATTTATTCAACTAATTGTTCTTTCCAGTCACTGACACATGATGGTCGGGTAGACTTACCCACAGCCTGGCTGTACTCACAGTGCAACAGTCTCCTCTCTAGGGCTTCAGTGAAACCATAACACAGGCAACCAAGAAGACCTCATTAAAGTCTCTCTTTCTTTCTCTTTAATTTTTTACATATGAAAGGGATCAGACACTTCCTTGATTACACCAACTACAGGGGCAGAGGAAGGGTATAGCAGCAATCCAGCTGTGAACCTAAAGGAATTATGTCCTATGGCTCTTTCCCACAGAGACTGCCAAGAGATCCTTACAGCCTACATCTTAATACCACAGTCTTGCCTCAATAATTATGCCAGGCACCCACAACATACACACAGAAACCTGCCTCTCCTTCCTGAACAACCTCCTTCAGCATACGGATGTCAACAAACATGAGAACAGACTCATCCTACTCCTCTGACATTTTTGTTACCAAAAAAGACTTACTGCAGCCTCGCCGCACTCTCTGAGAGCTGAGCAGCCTGCCCAGCCAAGTCCATTTTGCTTGGCACTTCTACCTCTGTGAAACTGGCATAACACTTTGTGCACAGGCACACTGCCATCCTAACACATGGGCAAGACTATACACAGTCAAAAGGCCAACGTGGGAGCATCCAATATGTTTTCCAAAGGCAGAAGTCTGAGTCAAGAATGTGTCTAGCTGCTCTCGAGGTCCCGTGCCTATACAGGAGAAATTTCATTTCAAAGTCGGGGTGATTTGGGCTTTGCCACAGTCTCACAAGACAATTCTGACGGCAGATTAGTATTTGGTAACAGTAGCTGTTATGTGTTTGGGAGGGGCATGCCATGTTATGTGGCAGTTCTCTTTCCCTTTTGGCTTTCCAAAGAAGATCCCCTGCAGTGAGCTGCTTCTCAAATGGTTCAACAACATTAACACATTTCTTTTCAACAGACTGAACCAGGGTGAAATATTTTATAATCTCTGAGTCCAACCCCTCCAATGAATTGAACCAGTCAAGGAGAACAAAATGAAAATCTGTATTTTAACAGGTATGATGTTTCCTAAACAGATGGTGATCATTTCAGATGTTCCTGTTATTGCCTTATTTTCTCTTTTTTTTCATCACATCACCAGATCTGCAACCACCCAGCTGGTTGCTATTGCTCTTCAACAGCTGGCAGAGATATCAGGGGCACGTCTGGCCAGGGCATCCCACAGCACCTCTGCACTTTCCTCATTCCACCAGCTTTCAAAATACTGTTGCAATTAATTTCTAGCCATAAGGTATTTTTATTAGTAAATCTAACCAGGAAAATAAGGAGGGGGACACATGGATTTGATTTATTGTTAGCATGATAGGACAGAATCATATCGATGAGACAATTATTTACATATGAAAGCTACAGGGGATATCTACATGAGAATCGTAGGTTGTGTTTGAGTTTTTATTCCCCTAGGGGGTATAAATTAGTCCAAGATTGTGAACTACAAAGACCACAGACTGAAACATTCTCAAGTCCCTTAACACCTCAGACTCTGTCCAATTGTCAAGAAAAATAGCGTTGGGGGAGGTGAAATATACCAAACATTGAAAACCAGCACAGAAACAGACACATTGATCTACACTGCCTTGGTATCAGTGACTTTCTATATATTCTCATTTGCCAGTCAGAACATAAAACCTGCATAACCTGCCTGAGATTCAGTTCTTGGTAGGTAAACAAACCCCAGCTGCTCTGTGTTCAGATTGGCTGAGAGGAACAGGATGAAGAAAAATCTAAACAATATGGTCCCTGTAAATATTTGATCTGCCAGTTATCTAATAGCAAGAGTAGCCCAGAGTCCAAATTTCTTTCTTTTTGCCAAAGAAGAGCATTTGGGGTTAGGGTTTTCATAATGCCAGGGGCTTTGCTGTTTAAATCCTGCCAATATGCTATTTGGCACATAACAACAATTAGTTTCTGCTTCTGCGTACACACAGCGCATGTGGATGTTTGCACTGTTCAAAGGCATCGGAGTCACGTTCCTCTAGTTAGATGTGGCCCTCGGTATTCATTAGTATTATTATTCCCCTTATTATTAGCACAGCAAACTAAAAAGTAGAAGGCTGGATCATGTTCACTGTAGACAGACACACTGGAGACTTTACTGTTCGCATACAGAAGCAGAAGTCGCATTGGACCTCTTGTCCCACAAATGTCATGAAATATAAAGGAAGGAGATGGAAAAAGAATACATCCCTAAAACAAGAATTGCTTCTGTTCCAGATTTCAAGTCCCTGAATAAAACCAGGAAAAGACTAGAGTGTCAGGAAGACGTTTTGTGAGTGGATTTGTTCTCATCACCTGACAGTGGGCCTTGCTATTCCTGGGCACAACTTACCAAAATGAGCAACTCAACCAGACACTGATCCGTGGCTCAAGGATATGCACATTTAACATATCAGTTTTTATGTTAGTTATTTGATTTGCCTTAGGTGAGCATGCTTGCTTTGCCCAGCAACAACAATTTCCAGAGACCCTTCCAAAATACCTTTGACCAACGTGCACAAACAGAATAAGAGCAAATCAAGGAAATCTCAATGGTTGGACTGTCAGATCTTACATCCTAGTGGGACATGAAAGATCTACATGCCTGAGAGTGACACTAGAGGATTTTCCTGCACTGTTCTGCCACGTTATCCCAAGTTCTGCTTTGTGTCTCCCTTCATTTGAAAGAAATGCCTCAACACAAACTCCACTTCACAGGTTATTTAGGACAATGCTACATTATGCTGTGCTCTCTCCTCTAATTTTTGTGTTCCGCTTTGTTTTAATGGTTTGTTAATGGAGGAGAGGATTCCCAGCATACTGATAGGAGATGACAAGACTACTGCAGTACCATCAGAATAAATAAAAATCAATAGGTTTTCTGCTGGTGTTGGCTGTAAAAGAGAGCAAAGCTATTTATCAAGTCTGACAAGGGGTCCAGAACTGCAGGATCATCACAGGCACCACAGCAAAAAGAAGAGGAATAAAATAAGAAATACTAAATAGGGAATCAAGATCGGTACAGTAAGATCACTAACATGTCAGTTTGTTTCAATACATAATAGCTGAGGAGAGCATGACAGGAACACTGGGAAATTATTCTTTTACTTAGAGCCTCCAGGTATTCATCAATTCCTCATGAATTACATCTTGGATCAACTTTCAGTGATTGGTAATATTCCCATTTAAAAGATAAAAGTTGTTTCATGTGCAGAGAATTTACGTAGCTACTGTCAGATCACCCACAGGCAGTCAATGTCAAAACTGGAAGTGAAATTTCTTGGGTCTCCTGCCTCTTGTCTCTCATTTCTCATTCTTAGTGCTCCCATAGCAATGGCACTATGAGGGGGTCTTACTGGAAAGAACTTATTATCAGATCTGCTACCAACTCCAGTGGCATGTCATATGGGATGCTACCAAATCTTACTGTAGGACCAAGCTTAGAAGTCTATTGCTTTATGCTATGTTCACCACCACTATAGTATTTGTATTTAATGTTATCTGGAGCCAAAACTTCCTTCACTCGGAGTGGACTGCTGTCGTGGTTTGAGAGCCCCAAAATCCAATTCTCGAGTCCAAGCCCCCCTCCCTCATCTCAACTGCTTTACTAATCTTCACATGCTTATTGGAAAAAGAAAATTAAAAAGGGAGAACACCCAATATATAGGAATCCATAAAAGCAACAGTGAAACAGTGCATGGCTTTTAAAAAGAATTTGAGAAAAGAGAAAGCTAGAGAAGATGCCAGAAGCTCTTGAAAAATGTTATGAAAATAACTCTCTGCATACATGCAGCAGTCACTATATGGGCTACCCAGTAGCTCTATAACCTCTCGTTTCAGTTCATTTCCTGTAACTGAAAAATTAAAAATTTCTGGAATCAACTTTTTTATCATTTGGTGACTGGCTGTCGGAGATTTTTGCCAAACTAAGGGGAAATTCCTCAAGCTCAGCAAACTTCTCAGTGACATTATACTACTTCTGTGGAGCGACAAGAGCAAAGTATGCCCCTGGTCACAGCCACAGCAGCCAGGTGCCTCTGTGGAGCACTGCAGGTTAAATCTTAGCAACATACATTAGCTCTGCCTTGGCTCTTGTCCTCCAGCAGTCAGGTTAAAGTAGATGACCAGCTTCTCATTCTTGCTGGCCCTGAAACTGTCCCTTCTTGTGTTTCTGAAATGGAGTTATCAGGAACCACCAGTCTCTGGCTCTTGGTGCATCTTTTATCTGAAGTGATTGCTATGGGGAGCACAAGGAGTTGTTAACATTTCTTGCTCTGTCACAGGCTAACAGCTCTCAGTTCTCTCAGAGCATCCAGACAGACAAGTCTATGTTTGGAGTGGCACTAGGGGCTGCAGCACTCAAGGAACCACTCAGGAGGTCTGCAGTCTCTCCAGCATCACTGGAAAGTTTGCATACAGGAACAAAGGCAAGGCAGACATCCAGAGTGAACAGAGAGGAAGACTTTGGTGTGGAATTTTATCAGAGCTTGAACCTCTGCGGCAAAAGAATCAATGTCTTGGGAGAAAAAATAAGGAAAGTGCCTAGTAGTATTTATAAATATGTATAAAATAACATATCCAGGTTATTATGCAATAAATTAATACCAAAGCTAGCTTGTTTGTAACTGCTTTGAAGTACAGAGGAAGGGATTATTATAAACAGGATGTCTTCTATATAACTCTGAATACTCTGTGGTATGGCCAATAGTAGAATATGGTATTTTTGTTTCCATGCTGCTGCAGAGGTTCTGAGAGAGTACCAAATATGGGAGAGTTAAAAAGTGAGATCATAATTAATGAGCATCAATTTCCTTTGAGAAGTGTTGGTATGGCTTCCAAATTAAGCAACAGCAAGAAAAGCACATGGGCAAGGACTTAAATTACATTAACTTCAGATCCCAGGACTGTTAATGTATTTGGGTAGAAAATGAAATGCGAGGTTGAGGAGCACATCCGTTCAACAGCAGTTCTTAATCTCATATGGGCTTACTGCAAGTGTCTCTCTATGTCAAAATGGACAGACTTCTGCTGAAGGCATGGGAGAGAGGAACAAAGCTGAGCTTTTCAGAGAGACCTGCCCCATTCCACTTTTTCTCACTTGGTGTAGAACGGGAGGAAAAAGTAACCATTTCCAGGTCACCCTGAGCCCATCCACAGTCACACCCCTTCCACAGAGCTTGGAAGAGGCATCATGGGGAAAGGTGATTATCAGGTTAAAAATAAAGAGCTCAGTCTTTGCATGCGAGACGGCTACCAGGCACTGGCCAGACCTCAACTCTACCTCCTACCACTATTCCTTCGTTCCAGCTCCACCACCAAGCAGTGCAAAGGGAGTGCCATGACTTCTCCTCCCAAGTCAGTTTGATCAGTCAGACCCTGCAAACCCACGTGTGCCCAAGCAGGACACCCGAGGCTCCACTCGCTTGCCCTCGCTGTGCTCCTCAGCCAAGCCTGCCCAGTTGGTGCCGGCAGAGGTTGCTCTCCACAAATTGAGGGGAGAGCAGTGTTATCTTTTGTTAGTCCGCCAGAAAAGAGTTGATGACCTGCAGTAAGATTAATTTCCACCAGGAAAATGCAAAACTCTCCTCTTCCCACCATACCATGTGCACCTAATCGCTTGCATATTTAAACATCCTTGCCTTGCTAAAATTTCGTGATGGAGCCGGTGACAGAGCAAATGTCGGGGCGCATAACCAATGGCATTGTCAGTCGTGATTAATCAGCATCTCCACCAGGCTCACGGCCAATTAGAATTTACCATAATAAGGAGGTGACAGCCGGTGTTGCTAAGCAACCGCTGTCTATAGAGCTGGGAGAGGCAGACACATTTAGATGTTACTGTGGATTTCGACAGCGGCATGTCAAAACAACACAAGCGTCTGCCCAGTGGAAAATTTTACAACCCAGGACTGGGCACCGGAGTGAGGCATAATTCCCTTTCAGAATAAAATACGTAAAGGAAAAGGTGATTTTTTTGTTGTTGTCGAGTTAATTTTTTTTTCCCCTTGAAAGAAGACTTTAACCAGTCAATCATTTATCTGCGTTTAATTAAGAGATATCGTGTCACTGGAACAGGACTTTGTTACCAGGTAATGGGCTCCCATGGCTGAGCAAATGCTGATACATTTATAGGAAATTAGCAGCAGGTCAGCACAGAGACATTTATTTTCAGTCAGAGGTATTTATCTGGCAATGACATTCTGTTCCAGTGACTTATTTTATTATATGAAAGGATTAAAGAATAAAAGGAGGAGGGGAGGGGAAGGAGATGGAGAAATGAAAATAGACTGATAGCAGTTCCTGTGTTAATGTGAGAGTTGCTGACTCTGCACATCATGAAAAGTTATGTTCCAACTGGGAGCAATAACCTTTCTGTACTTTAGCTTACTCCTAACAGGGTAGGGAAGATGTAAGGGTCCTTCCTGAGTTTGCTACACTTTCATGGACAAACTGGTTCATATAGAGGAAGATAGAGGATCATATCCTCAGCTGAGCTATTCTGACTTTCACCAGTCTATGACCTGGACCATGCTGTACTTATGCTCTACTGCACATGCTCTTCAGGCCTAAATAAACTGGCACAAAGTAGCAAGTTTTACCTGTCCTTAATATGGACCTACATAAAGCAGATGCCTGCACAAGTCTTCTAAATTATGAAATCAGAACTGTCTACACCTTACCTCTTTCAGTTTGGTGTCGCTGAAGGCTGGGGTCAGGAGGCTCCGCACATACTTCCATCTGTCATCTCGAAGACAAAGGATGCTGTCAAGCATTGGTTTGGAAATCAAGTTCGGCTTCTAAGACAAAAGAAAGCATAATTCAGTTTTAACACAAATGCAACTATAGCTACTCAAGGCTCTGTAACTTGGAAAGATTGGCCATGAACGGCATTGCACTGCTGTCCCATGATGAGAGAGGTTCGAATCAGTCCCAAACACCAAGCTAAACATGGATGAGGCTGGAGAAAATTTCTCTTTTGCTGCACTTATTTCCTCTTGGGCTTGTAAAAGCCCTGGGCCAGCCCAGTTACTCCTTGCTCAGATTGTTCCAGTTCTGATGTTCGTGGTTTTCTCCTGAGATTGCCTTCATTGAACCCTGGCTTCTTTCCTCCCTTCCTAGGTGACTAGCAAGAGGACTTGTCAACACTCCCTCTCTGTGTGACGAGTGCCAACGCACCACATGCGGGTGTTGGTGGGGGACATGATTTCTGGTGACAGCTGGTATGTCAGACTGTTACATGCATTTTAAAAGTCTTCAGAAAATATGTTGATTAGAAAGCAAGTCCCAGTCGTTACTCTGTCTATAAGGAACACTCTCACTAAGAAGTTGTGGCCTATGACTCTTACAGCTGCAGCTGCTGTCAAATATAGTAGCTCAAAGCACTTTCCCATGAAGTCTGTACCAAGGTAACTACTATGGATTTACTAAATTTTAATCTCCCCCACCATTTAAGAAATTCCTATCCAGAGAACAGTGATATTCACCAAGGATTAAAAGGATATAAAAGATGAAAGCGTGTTAGAAAACAACACACTTCTGCCTGGAAGAGGCATCAAGAGATGTCCAGCACCACAGCAGAATCTACTACAACTTACATTATTGTCAGAAGATGTTTCCTAATTGTTCCTGAAGGCCTTGTGGGGATTCAATAACCTCCCCACTGAAACTCTTCCAGTGCTGAAGTACTTTTACTGTGGTTGCACGATCTCTTTTCCTGGACCATATGACCTTTAGTCTTTGTGCTGTCACAGGCATAGAAACCAGCTTATTCTCCCCAGCTTTGCAGCAGCCCACATATACAGAAGACTATAATAACCACTAATCATATTGCTGCCATCTACCCCACATAATGCCAATGTGTTCAATACATATTAGTCATGTTATCTGGGACTGACTGTTCAGTGTTGTTACTGTCCCTCTGCATAGTCTTATTGATTTACTTCTTTCTCAAGGTACAGTCCCTGTGACCTGACACGGTGCTCCAGGTAAGGAAGGATTTTTTTTTTTGCCATATGTTCTGCAAGTTATATTCCTTTCTATTCACTCCAGAATACTACATACCACACCGTGACAATGTACTCATGTACTGGCTTGTGATTCTTTGCAACTCTCAGGTTTTTCTTCTGAATAGTTACTCCCTAGGAAGTTATTTCCCCGACTTTATCATTAAGACTGGTTACTCCCAAGAGTCACATATAGAACACGTCCTTGTTGAACTTTGACCATTCTTTTTATGCCTACTTCTCCAACTGACCAACGCCACTTTGAATTTTAGCCGTTTCTTTCATCCCTACCAGCTTTCTACATAAATTGTTAGTGCACTTAGTAACATCATCTAACTCATTAACAAAACTACAGAACAGTACTTGCAAAGAAGGCACCTCTGGGCTCCTCCCTTTCCTTCCAACAGTGCACTGTTCCCAAACACTTTTCAAGTCATCTTCAATTGGTATTTCAGGCATTGTACAGCAATGTCCTCTGGACAAACCACCCTAAGGTTGGTGGGTGCAGGTGGAAGGTGTACACTTCTCTAGTTACCAGGATGTACAGAGACACTCATTTGTGCATGTAAGATGTTCTGGATACTGCAGTGGCAGTACAGTCCCCCTGTTATCAGTAGCAACAGTATCCACTGTACTAGGAAAGACCCAAACAAACCAAGGATGCTTTAGCCTTCCCAATGCCATCTGTTGATCCCTTTCACCCTCTAACTTTTCCTTTCAGTCATTCTTTCATTACTAATGCACATAAAAAATTAATTCTTACTGCCTGTAACAAACCTGGATATTTTAATATCATTTTGTGCCTCAATATTTCTGATTTTATTGTCACTACATGCTATTTTTTTATCCTTCTTCTTGGAAATCTGACCTACTTTCCACTCTGTAAAAAAAAAACTTCTCTTTAGGAGCCATGAAGAGCTGGCAATTTAGCTACACTGGTCTTCTAGTGCACTTCCTTAACTTTCCTCCTTATTGGAAGAGTTTGCACTTAATATTGTTTCTTTAAGGAGCTGCCAGCTCTCCTTAACACCTTTTTCCTTTACACTTGCCAGATTCTTACTACACTGTATAAGCTTGTAAAATGCAGAAGCCTATTTTATATTGCAAACGGGCTAATGGGATAGTTTTACATGCAGTAACACCATTCAGTGTAGTAAACTAATGTCACTGGGCTGACACTACACACCACTTTTGAGCAGAGATGAGTGGTTTTCAAGTAGAAAAGTACATAGCAGGATATTAAGCTGAAGGAAGAGACTGACTTAGGTGCTGTCATCAGATGACTGCTGTAAGACAAAACATGGGTTCTTTTTTAATGTATACATAGACCATTCTATTTTGTGCAATAACAAGAAAAACTTGGGACAAGCTGTCAAAGTTGAAGCAGTAGGACTGTTTTCTCTGAGTCTGCTCTTTAAATAAACAATCTGTTTTCTGACTTGTCAGTAGGTATCTTTCCTGAGGATCAGAAGTCCAGCTAGAAAGGCTCACTGGAGCACTCCCTCATTTGTTACAGATATTCAAAGACACAGTAGAATCAGAAGAAAGAGGCTCTACACAATTGGAAATGAGCACCATCCTTTCAGAAAGCACTGTATGCCAGCCTCTGCTTCACAGTTCTTATGTGTTGCTAGGGAAGCTGCTTACAGTAAATCTTGACTCAGCTGGTCACCAAATAACTATTCCTTATATCTTTGGTCTTCAGTTTCAAACCCTGAGGGTGAGATTGCAGCACTCACTGAAATCAACAATAGGGAATGTGTCTTGATCAAGAGAAATGCACTAGTCCAAGAAATCAGGTCATGGAATATGGCCCCCAAATTAGCAAACACTCTCAGACCCATGTTTCAACCACCAGCCTTCACGCCTGTTTTATAAAGAGGAGATATCACATCACCTCCTCAGAACTGGTGACAACACATTAACATTTCTGAGGCACTCAGAAACTACAGTGAAAGAGCTGAATAACAATTCCCACAAGGAAATGACCGATTTTGTCTTCCAAAGGTTTGAATAGCGTACAGGGGAAAAAAAATAGAAAAAAATTATGGAACAACACTTGGAAAAGTATTTTGCATCCACTCCTAAATTGAAGGCTGCCCAAACTGTGCACTCTATAAGACAAATCTCCTTTGCAAGACAAGGTTCCACTTGGATAATTACAGATGTGATATAAATCTCACTGCATTTGCCTTGAAAGCAAATTCCCTCCCTAAACCAAACACTTGCCTTAAAAAATGCTCATAATTGCATAAAGACTGTACATAGAGCATTCACAGAGAGGGACCCAGTTTCTGAACAAAAAGTGTGTTAACTATAATATTATAACTACAACACTAACTACAGCATTGCCTTTCTAGCATTCTACTTTATGTCAGTATTGCTCCCTTAACATATTTTTTGTGTGTATAGTATTTTATACATATAAATGCTGCAAGGAATGAAAGACAATTCTGGCCATAAATTATTTTACTCTGTGTCTTTAAACTGGGTATGCAAAAATATGTTTGTGTTTATTGGAACAGCATCAGCATGACTGGCAGCATATAGCAGATTTCATTTATCAGGTTTTCCTTATTGTTTCTGCAAACACTTTCCTCCTAATTGTATAACCTGTGTTACAGGTTCATATAGCAGGAATGAAAATGGATTTGGTGTGAGAATGAGCCTGAAATGTCTTAGTGAAAGATGAAGTGTCACCTCTCTCCAAATGGACAAAGTACTAGATGTATCTAAAAATCCTTTCTCTATAAAAATCACTAAAAAAATTACCATGGGAGGCAGGTGTAATATTTTCAGGAGTGGGATCTTGGTTTTTAAGCGGCAAAGGAGGTTGCTTTTAAGTCAAATGCAATCAGGCTCATGTTCCATCTATCATTATCTAAATACTCAATGATTCCTCTACACTTCCTTCTCCTGTGCAATCAACCATTTCTGACCGTGGTACAGTAATGCTGCATGAAAACTACTGGCAGCATGGTAATCTGCTGCAGTGTACCTGTAAGTGCTGCTGAGTTCCCACAATCACAGACATGCCATCAGCAACAACGATGAAAATTGGAGGGATTTGCTTGCAAATAAATCCTTTAGAACATCAGAGCTTTTAAAACAGAAAACAAAACAATATTTGCAGGTGAGCAGCATCTCTGCAGTTGACGCAAGAATTCCCTCCCCATAAAGGTGTTCCTTAGGCTGACCCTTCAGACCCAGTTATCAGTTTTCATTGTCCCTGAGTCAATTTGGTTTGCTCTGTATTACTAAATAATTCAAGAAAGTGACTCTTCTCAGGCTCTGAGGCCAAGTGGAACAGAACACCTCCTCCCTCAAGGTTAAATCCCTTTCCTGAAAAGAAGGGACATATCCAAACTGCTTATAGCCATGGTACATGTTCACTTCCTGAACTGTGCCCAGACCATGCCTGGGGGACAACTAATCGATACACGACAAAACCATGCTAACAAGTATGTCAATATGGACATCTGTAGGACCTACTCATGCACTAATATCCTGTCCCTGCTTTATCCTGGAGTAAAGTTGTAGCCTTCTGTGATTCATACATTGTTTGTTCCTTCTCTGTCACTAGCAGGCTAGACTGAACCTCTGGCAACCAGCAATGACTGCCTGGAGGAGGAGGAAGGGTAACAGCATCATGATGTTCCCTTAGAAACCTCACTCTTTAAATATCCTGAACAGATGAATCTTTGAAGAACCTAAAGTGTACCTTTAAAGACCCTTAAAAACCTACTAGCTTGGAAACCTACAATATAAACCACTCACCTCCACAGAACCAGCTG